GACGGGCGGAGGGGCAGGGCGGTGGTCAATCAAGAGCCCATCCAGCGGGTGAGCGTCTACGCGGGCGGAAAGGAGTCGGGATCCCCAAGGGCCTCCGGGGGTGGGGAGCTTCCTGGAGGGAGCGGATCCCGCAGGGTAGCGGGCGGGACGCGCGCGGAGCCTTCGGGGCGCCGGGGCAGGACGGCTCGGTCTGCAGGTGTGGGTCCCCGCCGCCCGGACGTGCTCAGCGCTGCCCTTCTCTGGTCTTTCAGCTCCTGGAGGAGAACGATCAGCTGATCCGCTGTATCGTGGAGTATCAGAACAAGGGCCGGGCGAACGAGTGCGTGCAGTAAGTGTCCTCTCCTCCCGCCTCTGACCCCTGCGTGGAGGGGAGCCCGGTGCGATGGTGCAGCCAGTATCCTCAACTGTGAGCCTTTAGAAATTGATTGCAAGTGAGTTTCGTTTTACAATCCAGGAAGGGGGGGGGGCCGCAGGTGGCGTGGTGGATAAGAGTGCTGGACTCCCACATGGCTGAACACAGTTACAGTCTCAGACCTGGAGGCTCTCTCTCTGTGTGTGTGTGTGTGTGTGTGTGTGTGTGTGTGTGTCTTTCTGGTCAAATTAAAAAATAATAATAATAAAATGAAAATGAATAAATAAAATTAAATAAATAGTTCTTTAAAAAAAAAATCCTTGAAGGGGAGGCTCAAAGAGGTTACTTATCTCCCAAGGCCGTACAACAGGTTTACCGTGGAGTCTGGAACTTAAACTGCTCTTCCTGCAAAATCTCGTTTCTGTGAAGCGGCACTAGCTGATGACAACAGAGATGGAAAAGGGAGAAACACGGAAAATGAGGTCAAAGACATGAGAGCCACATCCCCTTTCTCATCATGGGGACCTGTTGCTTTTTTAAAGTTTGTTTTTTTTCTCTCATAGAGTACATGCGCTCGCTAGAGAGGGAGGGGGAAAGTGAGAAATCACCCCCAGGGGTATGGCCCTCCACATACACCCAGCATAGTTCTCAAGCCAACAGGTCCAGGAGTCAAACCATGGTCAGCCATGTCAGAGTCCAGCACCTTCTCTGCTATGCCACCTGCTCGCCCCCCCCCCATATTTTTTTTGTTTGTTTTTTTGAGAGATTTTTGATATAGGGCGCGTGCGCTCACCAGACAGAAAGAGACAGAGAGATAGAAAGCGAGAAATCACCCCCCCAGGGGGGATGGCCACGCCGCAATCCCTTCTCCTTTATTCTCCTCTGGGGATTTTGGGCACGCACACACGCGCACGCACATGCGCCCGGCGTGAGTTTAAGCCACCAGGTAAAGGACGCGAACCGCGGTCGACTATGTGGGAGTCACCATTACGCTAACTGCTGGTCCCCCCCCATTTTTTCCTGCTAAGTAAGGGGGTCAGACCCCTTGACTGCTTCGCTTCCTCTCATTTATAACTTGCAGTCCATCTGTGAGTGACACACACAAAGACCAACAAAGTATCAGTATTTCCAAGTTAAGCCAAAAGTGAACTGGATACGAAGAGGAGAAAAAAAAACTGTCTAAATAAAATGCTTCTAATACGTTCTTTAAGTATGAGTAAAGTAGGGTAAGTAGGGGAAGGGATGTTCTTTCATACACAGTATTCTTTTTATTTTTTTTAAAGAATTATTGGGATCAGCAATTGACATAATGACTATGTCACTGGACTCCCATGTAGTTGACCACGGTTCGAGTCCCGGATCTGGTGGTTTAAACTCACACCGGGCATGTGTGCATGCGTGCCCAAGATCCCAAGAGGAGAATGGAGGAGAAGGGATTGCGGTGTGGCCATCCCCCAGAGGGGTGACTTCTCGCTTTCTGTCTTTCTGTCTCTCCGTCTTTCTGGCGAGTACACATGCCCCATAGCAAAACAACAACAACAACAACAAAAAAAAAAAACACCTCTCCAAGAATTATTTAATTTTGTTCATTCATTCATTCATTTTAATTTAACTGGAAAGAGACACACAGAGAAAGTGAGAAAGCAAGCTGCCAGGTCTGGGACTCAAAACTGCGGGAGTGTCCAGCACCTTAACAACTATGCCACCTGCTGGTCCTATATAGGGGTTTTTTTGTTTGTTTGTTTGTTTGTTTGTTTGCTATAGGGTGCATATGCTTGCTGAAGAGAGACAGAAAAGGGGAGAGGGAAAATAAGAAATCATCCCGTGTAGGGATGGCCACGCCGGAGCCTCCTGTCTTCCATTCTTTTGGGGTTTTGGACATGCACACATGCGAAGCATGCCTTGTAAGCTACCGGTCGGGACTCACCCATACAGTGGGCCATGTGGGATCCAGCCTCCTTCACCACACTACCAGCAGGCCCACACAGGTTACTCTGATAAGGTTCATCTGGGTAGGGGTCTGACATGAAGGAGGGAGCTCAGGTGAGTACAGAGGAAGATCAGAGGGGAATGCCCCGTGCAAGGAGTGTGCTAGATATCCGTAAGCCACAGCAAGGCCAGAACTCGGTCAGCACAGGCAAAGCCTGGGAGATATCGTAGAGGTTACTGATGGCTTCAGTCACATAGGGCCTTGTCTGACAGGAGGAGGACTCTGCTTTACACTGAATGAAATAGGAAGCTTTGGAGGGTTTCAAACAGGTTTGACATGATCTTGATTTAAATTGTACTCCAGTTACCCAGGCTTCTGTGTGGACAATAAAGATCAGGGAGCCAAGGTTATAATAGTCTAAGCAGGGACCAGCAGTTAGCGTAATGGCTATGTCGCTGGACTCCATGTAGTCGACTGCGGTTTGAGTCCCGGACCTGGTGGCTTAAAACTCACACCCGGTGCGTGTGCGTGCGTGCCCAAGATCCCGAGAGGAGAATGGAGGAGAAGGGATTGCGGCATGGCCATCCGCCCTAGGGGGTGATTTCTCGCTTTCTGTCTCTCTGTCTCTCTCTGTCTTTCTGGCGAGCGCACACACCCTATAGCTAAAAACATTCCCCCCCCCAAAAAAAAAATAATAATCTAAGCAGGGCGTGATGGTAGCTTAGCCCAGGGAGGTAGCTGTGGGACTGATAAGTGAGGATGGGTGAGATTCTGGGTGTATCTTCCTCAAACATGATAAATAAGATTGTTAATAATGCACCATCTGGTCAGTGGATGAGCCATTCTCCTGGGGTAGGCCAATTCTTTTCCCATTTTTGTGTTCGTAGTAAAAATAAGCATCTAATTGTTGCCTATTTTTCATCGATAGGTTCCAGCACGTGTTGCACAGAAATCTCATTTACTTGGCTACCATTGCAGATGCCAGCCCGAAGAGAGACAGAAAAGGGGAGAGGGAAAATAAGAAATCATCCCGTGTAGGGATGGCCACGCCGGAGCCTCCTGTCTTCCATTCTTTTGGGGTTTTGGACATGCACACATGCGAAGCATGCCTTGTAAGCTACCGGTCGGGACTCACCCATACAGTGGGCCATGTGGGATCCAGCCTCCTTCACCACACTACCAGCAGGCCCACACAGGTTACTCTGATAAGGTTCATCTGGGTAGGGGTCTGACATGAAGGAGGGAGCTCAGGTGAGTACAGAGGAAGATCAGAGGGGAATGCCCCGTGCAAGGAGTGTGCTAGATATCCGTAAGCCACAGCAAGGCCAGAACTCGGTCAGCACAGGCAAAGCCTGGGAGATATCGTAGAGGTTACTGATGGCTTCAGTCACATAGGGCCTTGTCTGACAGGAGGAGGACTCTGCTTTACACTGAATGAAATAGGAAGCTTTGGAGGGTTTCAAACAGGTTTGACATGATCTTGATTTAAATTGTACTCCAGTTACCCAGGCTTCTGTGTGGACAATAAAGATCAGGGAGCCAAGGTTATAATAGTCTAAGCAGGGACCAGCAGTTAGCGTAATGGCTATGTCGCTGGACTCCATGTAGTCGACTGCGGTTTGAGTCCCGGACCTGGTGGCTTAAAACTCACACCCGGTGCGTGTGCGTGCGTGCCCAAGATCCCGAGAGGAGAATGGAGGAGAAGGGATTGCGGCATGGCCATCCGCCCTAGGGGGTGATTTCTCGCTTTCTGTCTCTCTGTCTCTCTCTGTCTTTCTGGCGAGCGCACACACCCTATAGCTAAAAACATTCCCCCCCCCCAAAAAAAAATAATAATCTAAGCAGGGCGTGATGGTAGCTTAGCCCAGGGAGGTAGCTGTGGGACTGATAAGTGAGGATGGGTGAGATTCTGGGTGTATCTTCCTCAAACATGATAAATAAGATTGTTAATAATGCACCATCTGGTCAGTGGATGAGCCATTCTCCTGGGGTAGGCCAATTCTTTTCCCATTTTTGTGTTCGTAGTAAAAATAAGCATCTAATTGTTGCCTATTTTTCATCGATAGGTTCCAGCACGTGTTGCACAGAAATCTCATTTACTTGGCTACCATTGCAGATGCCAGCCCAACCAGTACTTCAAAAGCAATGGAATAACTTCCCAGGTAGTCGCTGTGAGGAGTGATTGAATGTAATTTATCTCGTAGGACATGGAGACTGATCTTTACCCACTCAGCTGCTTACAGTACAAGCGAAAATCTGAAGAAAACGACTAACTTAACAGTATTTGCAGTGCATTTTAATAATCAAGTATATCCTGCAATAAGTTGCCACCAGGTGTCTTCTGGCCTGAAGTGGGAGCGTGTGTACATCACAGAGGCGTCCTGGGCCTCAGCAAGCCTGCTTTTTCATTTCTCACCGGAGAGAAGATTGAAAATACCTATTGGACCGTCAGGAGTAACTGGTGAGACTTCCAGCTGAGACCTTGCCAGATGGACACACCACTGTTCCCTTTACCGTCCGTAAATGTCCTCCGTCCGACTGCTCCCTTGAGGTTGCTTTGAAATAAAGCTTGCTTTTCCAGAAAAGACTACTACGGAAGCATAGATGTTTTCATCTAGTAAGTGTTCCATTTGGTTTTTAAGAAAAACTGTAAGGGCTCAAGTGTAATTTACAGAATAACAGTACTATTATCATTGCCAACAAAATGAATAGCGATCCTTTTCCTTTTTTTCTGTTAGAGGAATATGTGCTGGCCAGAGGAAGAGGGTATTTTATTATCACAGAATGTTTTCGTTTTTTTGTTTGTTTGTTTTTGCCGTAAGGTAGGTGTAATGGCCTGAGAGAGAGAAAGACAGAGAGGAAACATGAGAAGTCCCCATCTCCGCAGGGTGATGGCCACACTGCAGTCCTTTCTTCTCCATTCTCCTTGGGATTTGGGCACATATGTACGTGCACCCATCATGATTGTCAACCAGCTGGGTCCAGAACTTGAACTGTCGTCAGCCATGTGAGAGTCCAGCACCTTAACCATACGCCGCCAACTGGCCCCCAGAAAATGCCTTTTTGTTGATTTGTCTGAATCAAGATCTAAAATTGAGGGGCAGGCAGGTGGCGTGGTGGATAAGGGCGCTGGACTCCCACATGGCCAACTACGGTTCGAGTCTCGGACCCGGTGGCTTGCTTTCTCACTTTCCCTCTCTCACGCTCTCTCTCTCTCTTTCTATGTCTTTCTGGTCATAATTAAAAAACGAATGAATAAATAAAATTAATTCTTTTAAAAAAATAAAAGTGATTCACATGTGATTTTGTTGATGTCCCTTTATGTTACTTTCAATATACTTAAAAGCTCCCCTTCTTCTTTGCCGTTTGTTGAAAAATAGATCATTTGCCTTATAATTTCTTATATTCCGGATTCATCCAGCTGTATCCCTCCAGTGTCATTAATTATGGCCACTGTCACCCATTTTTCCTGTAAACTAGTAAATCTAGAGGCTCATTTACACCCAGGTTCTGATACTTTGAGCAGGAATTGCATCATAGGAGGTGATGTGCACAGTCATGTGCCTAAGTGTTCTGCTCTGTGACAGTGGTCCCATCAGATTATAGTGGGACATACCATACAGCCTAGGTGTGTACGTACACGATGACAAAATCACCTGACACATTTCCCAGAACAGGTCCCCATCAACTGATAGGTGACTGTACTTGTTTTTGCATCACGTCAGAAAGTGACCTGATGTATTTTCAAGTCCCCTAGAGCCTTTCACTTCAATAATGATCCACCTAGCTTTGATCTTGTAATTCATTAGGAATTGCATATGGTGGGAGCCAGTAGGTGGTATGGTGGTTAAGGGCTCTGGACTCCCACATGGCTGACGGTGGTTCAAGTCCCAGACCTGGTGGCTTGCTTGCTTTCTTGCTCTCACTCTCCCTCTCTGGTCAAATTAAAAGTAAATAAACAGTTAAATAATAATTTTTTTAAAGGAATTGCATATGGTGATTTTCTAATTTTTTTCATTCCTTTGGCCTTTCTTAGCTATGTTTCATAAAAAGCTTTCTCTCTTTGAAATAATTTTTTGAAAGTGAATCCAAAAGCAGAAGCCCAGGCGTTCCCTTTCGTTGGAGTGAAGGGTTCAATTCCACGGTGACTGTCACATGCAGAGTAATGCGAGAGCTTGTTTTGAATCCCAGCTCTACCCCTCAGCCTCTGAGAGCTCTGTTTCCTTCCTCTACAATGGGAACCATGAAAATAGTACCCACCTCGGTGAGGTGTGGGAAGCTGCACACCAGCGAGTCTGCCGAGGTTTCTCAGAGAGCAAACAATTACCATGATTGGGTCCCTTCCAAAAACCTAACCTTCAAAACCTTGCTTTGATTGGCCACTAGAATCCCTCAAATTTGCATATCTGGCACCTCATGATTGGTCCAAAAGCAACCAATCATAACCCACCGTTAACAACCAATCAGGGCCCACCATTTACAACCAATCACGGTCCACCATTTACAACCAATCAGGGCCCACCGTTTACAACCCACCAGAGTGTATATAACCACGATGCCTGGCCCACAGTAGCCAGACGACGATGACCAGGAAGACGACAACTGAAGAGCCTGAAGAGCTGAAACACCGCGCAGTCTCCGGACGACCCTGAAGATCTGAAGAGCTGTAACACTACATCGTCTCTGGACGACCCTAAAGAGCTGTGACACCGCATGGTCTCCGTGCTGCTCACAGTAGACGACGCGACACTGTGTCGTCTCTGTGCTGTACCGTGCTGCCCACAATAAACAGACGACACTGTCGTCTCTGTGCTGTAACACTATGCCGCTTGTCCCGGCTCTTACTCCTTCACTCAGGAAACCTGTTCGGATGTCCCCCCAGGTAGGGACAGTGAGGTGGTAAGATGACCTGTGGGGACTCCTCGTAACCATATGGCAGGTGACGAAGCGACGTTCATGACGAAGCGACATTCGGCACTACCCCACGTGCCCTTGAAACTTTGTGATAAACCTCCATTACTTGAAGTGATCGAGTACATTTCTTTGTTTTAGGGTTGTTTTTATTTTTAAAGAATTATTTTATTGATCTTTATTTATTTAATTGGTTTTTTATTTTAATTTGACCAGAGAGGGACAGTGTATGTGTGTGGGGGAGGTGAGGTGGGGTGAGAAAGTCAGCCACCAGGTCTGGGACACGAACCACGGTCAGCCATGTGGGAGTCCAGCGCACCCAACCACCATGCCACTTGCCAGCCTCTGTTTTAGGTTTTAGCCATAGGGCATGTGCGCCTGTCAGAGACAGAGGTACAGTAAGAAATTACCCCCCCACCCCACCCCACCTTCTCTTCCGTTCACCTCTCAAGATTTGGGGCACACAGGTACACATGCCCAGCATGATTTTCAAGCCACCAAGTCCAGGATCCAAACCATAATCCATCATGTGAGAGTCCAGCACCCTAACAACACGCCACCTTCTGACCCCTTGAGTACATTTCCTAAGCTGGTACATCATATCTTTTGATCATTACTCAACCTAACATACTTAGTATTCTAAATCTATTCCACTTTAACAAAAGTCATTTTAAGAAGCTAATTATCACCCACGTTCCCAATGAAAGTCCCCCGGATGGCTCTGGAATCCAGACTTTTTCTCTTGAATAACTAGGATCTCCTCTTAAATCTGGGGCGAGGGGATTATTTTCAGTTCTGTTTGTATTTCGCTAATTAAAAAAAGATTTACTGTTCAACTGATAAATCTTTTTTTAAGTGTACTGAGGACACTGCAGGGAGGGAGCCAGGTAACGCCCCTCCTCTCGTGGAAACTTTTTTTCTCCTTGGGGCAGATGGAGAGTAAAGTATGAATAAGGCCAACTTCATGTAGCAGTAAGTGCTACAGAGAACATAATGTGTGGAAGGGCATCCGGGTGGCTCCTTTCAGAGTCGTGGGTGACCCGCGAGGTAACGTTACAGCTGAGAAACCTGACACGTGTCCCTCAAGGAAAAGGCAGTGCAGGCAGAGGCAGGAGCTAAACGAAGACCCTTCATCCCAGCTTTCTTCTCGGGTCCATTTATAGAGCGGTGTTCACCTATGTGGTCATCAGTTCAATTATAACCCGAGTCCTCATTTGACCAGCCTCTGTGCTTGGATCTAGTGAGGAAAATGGAAGAGGAGGTGCCCTGGGTGCTGTTCTCAAGAAGCTCCTAAGCCCAGCAAGAGAAAAAAGACTCAGACCCTGGCTCGGACAAGGGTACCAGGCAGATCCAGGGATGCCTGAGAAATTGCCAGAAGCCCAGGAGTTCTATGCAGAAATTATCAAGTGCTTCTATGTCACAGAGAAAGTCTTTGTCTTTCATATCCTGAACACTCTTTTGTTTCCAAGTGGAAAGTCAGCGTGGGCCAGCCTGTAGATTCGCGGCTAATGGAGCCAGGTCCCATGTAGCTGACTACAGTTCCAGTCCAATCCAAGCAGCTTAAGAAACACAGTAGCGGGATCAGCAGTTGGTGTAATGGCTTTGTCACTGGACTTGCATGTAGTCAACTATGGTTCGAGTCCCAGATTTGGTGGCTTAAACTCAGGCTGGGCACATATGCGTGCGTACCCAAGATCCCGAGGGGAGAATGGAGGAGAAGGGATTGCGGCATGGCCATCCCCCCTGGGGGGGGGA